CATTGTTAATCCCTCCTCTTCCTCTCAGGGCAGGAAGAGGAAACGCAGCCTCTCTGCTGACAGCGGCGAGGGCAGTGCCTCCGACTCTGACTCCTCCCACTCTGATGGAGAGAAGGATGAGGACGAGGAGAAGGAGGAAGAGGAGGACGACGGAGAGCATGGTATTTATTTTTGAACACTGAAATGTTGAAGCACTTCTCAGACTTCAGTCTGAAGTGTTTTGCTGGTTTGTTTCAGAGCGTCGTAAAGAGCGAGGGAAAGAGAGGGAGAAGGAGGCTCCACCCAAGCCCCGCCCCCTCCACCTCACCACCTCCCTATTCATCAGGAGCATCCCACCAGAGGTGTCCAAGGATGAGATCACAGCTGTAAGAAAACATGCTTTACAGGGTGAAGCAGTTGTTGCTAAGCTCATTTTTCAAACCTATAGGTTCACTGTTTAGGCTCCTCCCTCCAGAGAGTTATTAAAATAAGTTTGGACAAGTAAATAAAGGAGGAAGGTTTTTAATTATAGTCGGGATTCAGCAAGAAAAACTAGGTTGTTTTTAATGAACCAGCTCTGCAATGTATTCATGCTCCCATCTGACCATTTAACATTTAACTGCTGCTCTGCATACAAGAACTATGAAATACTGCACCATGAACTGGTTTATTTATTATTTAACTTGTAAATAGTTCAAAGTAAAATATCATTTTTACCCAGAACATTTTTTTTTATGTGCTGAAAGCTGTGATTTTGACACATATGTGGACGTCACATTTTGGGTTATTTAGACTAAACTACTCAATTTTGCTCTACAAGGGCCTGATATCCACTTACGAGGACATCATACTGCTACTGTTCTATCAACGTTTTAAACGTATATCCTCATATGTGGCTCTCATTGTTCTTAAAAACAAAAATCAGATAAAAAAAAAAGTTTGGTAATTCTTTGTTTTTACATTCATCAAGTCTCAATCAGCCCAAATATCAAAGATAAATTAAAAATGCAGTGGAAGAGTTCAGGTCTCAGGAGGTTAAAGTTAGACACCTGTGCACATCACCTGGCTCTCTGCTAACCTCCTTCATGTGTTTGCAGCTGTGTCGCAGATACTCAGGCTTCCTGCGGGTGGCGCTGTCGGACCCTCAGCCCGAGAGGAGGTGAGAACAAAAAAGTGCAGTCGCGACACCTGCATTAGCTCCTCCCAGCTTCATCTGCCATTAAAGGACTGATATGTAAAATGTAGCAAATTGTTTAGTTGTTTATAAATAAACCATACAGATATACATGTATATATGATAGGACATCAAACACACAGTGTATTCTTATCAATGAAACATGCAAGTTTATAATCTGTTGTCCTTCAGTAAAACGTTCCTAGAAAGCGTCATTTCACTTGTCGTTTACATTTATACAGGAAGTCAGGTCTTTAACGGCGTCCTCCAAAGAAAAACGATATTCTTCTCTAAGCAGGACGACTCTGTTATTATAGCTCAGGAATCACATGAAGTTTAGTCCTGAAAGCACCGTTAGACATTGTGCTCACTTTTCTGCCGTGGGAATATCAGAATCAGACCTGATGCGGGCTCACCACAACGCTGTTCACCTTTCGGGGATTTCTCTGTAACTTTATATCGAATTTCAGCATGTCGCAGGTTTCTGTGGCTTACAGGTATTTTGTTTTTGTTTTGTCATTTTTAATTATTTCTCCAGTAAAATTAGCATTTCCTAGCATGAATATGAACAACAATACAGTTTCACCACTCAACACTGCGTCGCCTGCGGATCGAGACGTATTCGTGTGTTTAAGGCGCTTTATCTAAGAACTGCCCCGCACCACGTTTCTTTTTTTTATTGAGCGGTTTTAAAAGCATGGGTTTGGAAGTGTTCCTCTTTAAACTGAGCTTCAGTAAATATTTGTGCTTCAGGTTCTTCAGGCGCTGCTGGGTGACCTTTGACCGCAGCGTGAACATCAAGGAGACGTGCTGGAACCTGCAGAACATCCGGGTACACACAGACACACACACCCACAGACACACACACAGACACACACACACACTGGTGTGTCATGATTATAACCTCCTCTATGCTTTCTGCAGCTCAGAGACTGTGAACTCGCTCCGGTGGTGAACAGAGATCTGTGCCGGCGGGTTCGCAGCGTCAACGGTCTGACGCACCACAAACCGGTGGTGAGGAACGACATCCGACTGTCGGCCCGACTCGTCCACAGCCTGGACCAGAGAGGGGAGCTGTGGACCGGACAGGTGCGGACTTTAACCCTTTAAAGCCGGTC